CCCGTGTCCCCTGCATCGGCAGGCGGACTCTCAATCACTGCACCACCAGGGAAGCCCATGTAAGTTGATTTTTTAATCAAATTACTCCACTATTTGATGTGTTTAATAAATAATCTACATGGTGTGTTCCTGGCAGAAACAAAACCTACATTTTCTGTAACAATATTACCATTTCTCATTCTGTGTTACATAGAAAAACAATTTGAAGACTTTATTTCAAAAGAGTATGACTTCAGTGTTCTTGTCTCATGATGTTACTACCTTCAAGCATTGCTTGATGTGTAATATTCTCAAATCAGTACTGGACCATTAGTGTTTTTAAGCTATTTTAGGTTAAATTAACTATGGGTGATTTCAGCTGATTGGGCTTGTCGCAGCATGTAGTTTTTGATTTTCAGCTCTGTTCTGGGATAAGGATCACACAGACAACCAGCTATTGTTTGTTAAGAATGAGCAAAGGTCGGGCTTTCCTGGTGGCGCAGTGGTTGAGAGTCCGCCTGCCGATGCAGGGGACATGGGTTCCTGCCCAGGTCCGGGAAGATCCCACATGCCACGGAACGGCTGGGCCCGTGAGCCATGGCCACTGAGCCTGCGTGTCCAGAGCCTGTGCTCTGCAACGGGAGAGGCCACAACAGTGAGAGGCCCGCGTACCGCAAAAAAAAAAAAAAAAAAGAATGAGCAAAGGTTTGTGAAATGTCTTTGAATCCAGGAAAGCAGGGCAGGGCCTGTTACGTAGTGTGGTTCTCCACCCCACCCCTCACCTGCCTTGGTTTTCTTCCTTTTCTTATTAGTTTTGCTGTAATTTCCTCAGTAAGCACTAATAAAGCAAGGACAGTCATTTCTTCATTCTCATCTTTCTGTATTTTTCTGTTCTCTGGTCCTATTTAGATTTTCCTTTATTCCCTAGATCCTCAGTGCTTATTGGCTGTTTCCATTGGTTCTGTTTTCTCTACCCTTCTCTTGTGTCTTTTGTTCCTCTGCCATGTGTGTTTCTGTCCTCAGATAAAATGCCAAGAAAACAGTGTTTACATGAAGAAAAGATTTTTAAAATCTTGCTTAACCCCAGTAAAAGAGAGTATAAATCTAAAAGCCATCAGACCATTACCCAGATCTTTCAAGTCCCACCAAGTCCAGATTTGAGATGCACTGCTCTAGGAAGCTTCCTTTTTGTTTTGTTCCCCTAGGATATTGTAAAATGAGCATAATAGATCTTATTAGGATAATAAGACGATAGAATGAAATAGCCAATGTTAGTACTTTTCCTCACTCAGATTTTGTGTGTAATTAACATGAAGGCCTCTTTATACTCTTTCCTTCTTTAAGCCCTTTTATGTTTAGGAGATTAGGAAAAGAGTTTGGCAACAGTGGGTAGGAGGTGGATAGGATTGAAGGATAACTGTTAAATGATAACAGAGCAAAAGAAATAATAAAATCTCCATCCAGGTTCCATGCTCTCATGGAGTAGTAATAATAATATCTTACATTTTGATCCGTAAGAACTCACTACAGTAAAAAGGAAAGATACTAGTGTCTCCCTTTCCAGTTGAGGAAATATATTCAGAGAGGTTTGTTTGTCCCAGAATTGACTTGATCTGGGTCTGAGGTTGTAAATGCTATACTACTTGTACTTGTTATACCCACTTGAGTTCGTTATTATGGAAAAGCAAATATTTCTCTATGGAGAAAGAATTTGTGTGTGGCGATCTTTTGTTAAGGAATTAGTGTAGTCAAATTAACCAAACGTTTGTTTTTATATGCTATCTGCTAAAATGTAAAAATATCTATTTCTTTTTTTAATATAGGTCTCTTACCTTTGAATTGTTGAGCTCTTTATTTTGTTTCTAGGTTTACAGCATTCTTCGTCATGTTGCTGAGGTCTTAGAATATACCAAGGACGAGCAGCTGGAAAGCCTGTTCCAGAGGACCGCTTGGGTCTTTGATGACAAGTACAAGAGACCCGGATACGGTGCCTATGATGCATTTAAGCACGCAGTCTCGTAAGAACACCTTCTTAGCTCTGCTTCTCCATTGATACTACAGCTGCTGGGTCTAGCACACAAGTTGAGAGCCTGACGTTTAATAGCGCAACATTCATGTATTAAGTCCTTGCCAAATTTAGATTAAAATATTTTAGTATAATAGGCCCATGATATGGGCCAGTCCTATAAAGCCGAGCCTATATGATTTGGTATACCATAGTTATGTAGTTTTGTAAACCATATGGTTTCATCTCACACTACTGTCTTACATACTTTCCTCTCCTAGTTTTGTTATTGTCCTAGGTGACTTCAGGGCCAACATAGATGTTTTGTTTAAAACTTGTTTTCTTTACCTCAGTTCCTTAGACATTCAGCCCCTGCCACATTAGCTAGTCTTCCATATGGCCTTACCCTAGGTCTTACTGTCACCAGGATTTGCTCTGTCTCCGAAACCTTTAATTCACACATTCTGTTCTTTCACCATAGCCTCCTGTCCTTCCAGCTCCCACAGTTAGTCCTGCTCTGTGTCGTTTTAATTCTTATTATTATCAGGCTCTGATTCCAAACCTTTTTTTTCTCCCTTTTTCACCCTTTCCTGCCTTCTCTTTCTTATTCAGCATAGACACACCATGGTCATCATTTCAACAACTTTCTTGCCAGTGTCATGAGTTTTGCCCTGTTTTTCCTTCTGTTACATCCAGCCTTGGAGCGATGTTCCTGCCTTCTCTGCACTTGTAGACTGCTGGGTGCTGCTAGGAAAAACCACAGTCTTGCAGGTTGGTGCCACTGCATATTCATGGTCTCCAACCTCAGCTGGGCCTTAACTGCTGCCCCACATTCTCTTTGCTCCTGGTCACTTCTTCCTCTCATTCTTAGATTGGCTATTTTAGAACTTCTCCACACTCTTCCTTAGATTCCCACTCTGTCCCTCTCCTCTCACTCTCACCTGGTGCGCTCACTACCTGAAAAAGAAAATAGAAGCCATTGCACAGGATCAGCTCTACTTCCTTCCACTTTCTCAGCCAACTTATCTCTATCCCACCTGTCACTACCTCCTGTGCTCCTGTCATACTGGAATTTGGATCCTTCCTGCTCTCTAATCTTACCACCTGTGCCCAGCTATTCCTAAGGGATGTCTTTCCATCTACTATTCCCTCTCTTGGATCTTCAGCCTTTTTCTTTATTGGTTTTGCTCCATCAGCATAAAAATATGCTCAGATTTTTCCCATTTATACTAAAAACGAACTTTTCAACCTCCCCTCTACTTTCTCCTGTCACAAGCACTGTGTCCTCTTTTTAACAGCCAGATTTCTTAAGTTCTCTGTACTTACTGCTCTACTTCTGCACCTCCCAGTCCTTCCTAGATGTTAATACCTCACAAGCAGCCTCACCACTGCATTGTTACTTTCCCAGCCCTTGTGCTGCCAAGGGTTATTTGTCTCCTCAGCCCTCAGAATGGCCAAGTGGGGCTTAGAACTGTTAGAACCTCCATCAGGCCTACTCATCAGAGGCTCCAAATACCTTCTAGTTTACCCCCTCCCCTCATGTGACTTATTTTTTTTTTAAATATCACCTTGTGGGAAAGGTGAGAATAATAATAACAGCTAACATTTATATAATTCTCACAACAACCTATGGTGTAAGTGTCATTATTATTCCTATCTTATGGATGAGGAAATTGAGATGAGATTAAATTGTCCAAGTTCACACAGCTACCAAGTGGTAGAGCCTCAAACACAGGCATTGTAGTTACGCTACAGAGCTCATACTATTAACCATCAAGCACTGCTTTGTATTTCTGTCCTCCCTGACTTCAATCCTGGACTCCTCAGTCAGTACATGTCTTACCTTGGTTTGCTGTCATTATCAGCCCCGCTTACCTCTCTAGCTTCTGCCTCCACCCCGTCTCCATTACCACTCTGCATTTTTAACAAATAACAGGTTACATTCTTAACAAATAACAGGTTACATTCTTAACAAATTAACATTCATCTTAACGAATTAACATTCACTCATCACCGTTCACATTCTTTTCTTGCTTCATCAGACATGTTGCAACCGTCCAGATTTAACTCATGATAATTCTGTGCCACGTGCTTCATTTTTTTTTCTCTTAATTAAATAATTAAATAGAATTTCTGAGATTGTTGGAAACAATATTTTATTCCTCCCAAGCCGGAATTCCGGTCACTTATCAGTGGTAGCCACTATTCTGAAATTAGTATGTATCATTATTTATATACATATACATGTGTGGGTAGGTTATGAAAAGTATGTATAGAATCTTTTTTATGTTTAAATATTTAATTTGTTTAAACAAAAAAAATAAATTTATTTTATCATTGTAACAAGCTTTTCTGTACTTTACATTTTTACTCATAATGCTATTATTGACCAGAATTTCTCCAAATTGATAGATGTATGCCTACTTCATATTAATTTCTATATAGTATTCTGTTGTGAGAATATGCTTTATTTGTTCCTCTATAAAGAGATTTTTACATAATCCCCTCTGCCCTTTTATCCCCCTACTTTTCAGAACTGCTATGACGAATGTCCATGTACATGTCTCTCTGTACAATGTTTGGGAATTTCTAAGATACCTAGGAATAGAATTGTTGGGTCATAGGATTGATTATATGCACGTTTAAATTTACTTAGTTTTGCCAAAGTACTGTCCACATTGGTTCTACGATTTATATTCCCTCTTCATCAACATTTGGTATATATCTCAGTTTTTTTTTTTCCCCAGACTGATTGATGTACAATACTGTCTTGTTTTGATTTGCATTTTGCTGGATGTTGGTAAAGTTAACAGCATTTCATATGTTTATTGACCATTTGTATTTCTTCTGTGAAACATCTGTTTATCTCATTTCCTCATTTCCTGTTGGTCTTTCAGTTATATCATAACTTTCTTAAAACTTAAAGTTCTACCTTAGCTCGTTAAAATCCTACCATTCTTTTAGTCGTCATTTCATTTTTTCCATTTGTTCATTCGTTCAGCAAACATGCCAGTGACTAAGACCGTGGTCCCTGTTTGTGGCACTTACAAGGGTCAGATGAAATGCCACTTCACCCATGAAGCCCTTCCTGACCCCGCTAATATCTTCCTCTCCTCACCCCCAGGGATGCACTTTTGTTTGTTTTTTTAAAAATTTTTTCCATGTTTTTGTTCTTTTTAAGCTCCTTGAAGCAGGGACTGCTAATTACATGGAAATGCTTAATTATAGTGGGATGTGAGACGTATAGGCATAACTCATTTTATTGCACTTCGCATATACTGTGTTTTTTTAACAAATTGAAGGTTGTGTGGCAACACTTCATCAAGCAGGTCTGTTGGCGCCAGCTTTCCAACAGCGTTTGCTCACTTCATGTCTCTGTGTCACACTTTGGTAATTCCTACAATATTTCAAAATTTTTCATTATTTTGTTACCGTGATCTGTGATCTTTGATGTTACTATTGCAAAAAGATCACCTCTCTCTGAACACTCAGATGATGGTTACCATTTTTTAGCAATAAAGTATTTTTAAATTAAGTTATATACATTTTTTTAGACATAATGCTATTGAACACTTAATAAGTATAGTGTAAACATAACTTGTGTATGCACTGAGAAACCAGATGTGAGACTCACTTTATTGCTATACATGCTTTATTGTGGCAGTCTGGAACTGAACCCACAGTATCTTCGAAGTATGCCTGTATAGGCGACATTTTAAATTGCTTGCTTTAGCCAGATCTCTAAAATTTTTCTTTTAATAATAATCAATTGGATGTTTTCTGTTTGTCATACAGGCCTAAACGCTTTACTTGCATTATCTCATTTAATACTACAATCCAGTGAGATACACTGTTTTCATTCACATTTTACATATTTGGAAATTGAGGTCTAGAAAGGCCCCAAAACACGTAGTGATTAAATTGTGAAGCTAGGATTTGAATTCTAATTCTGACACTGAAGGCTGTGCTCTTAAACATTATTCTGTGGTATTATGTTTGGTGTCCTAATTATCAGTAAAGTAACCTTGACATTTTGTTTTGTGTATGTGTGTGTTGTTATTTTTTTAATTATCAGAGACCCATCTATTTTGGATGGCTTAGATTTGAATGAAGATGAACGGGAAGTACTCATTAACAATATTAATAGGCGTTTGACTCCACAGGCTGTCAAAATTCGAGCAGGTAAGTGATTTTTTAAATGATGTTTAAAATATTTTGCATGTACCAAAAAAGCTGTTACATAATGAGCCTCACCAAAGGATATGTTGCTACATCAACATCTACCTTTTTCTAAACGTTTTTCATAACAAGAAAAGTTAAAGAAATTAAGTTATCTTTGCTTTTACTGAATTATAAAATACATATATATTGACGCAAGTAAATGAGTTCAGCTAACCTTAAGTTTGCCCACTTTCTGGGGCATGGGGGGTGGCGATTATTTTGTTTTAGTGCATGCTTTAAAATTCCAACAGTCCATTAATATCCTCCCAGGCCTCTGGATTAACCACTGTTATGTTAGTTTGCAATATACTCTTGCAGCAGAGATTTTTTTCTATACACATATGGTATATAGGAATGTATGCTGTTTATATTCAGATGTAAATTTTTATGTTTTTATAAGGGTGGGGTCATACTATGCAAAATTTTCTTCAACTAGCTTTTTCCACTTAGTGTATCATGGCTGCCCTTTCATGTAGAACACGGGGATCTTTCTCATTTTGAATAGCTAAGTAATATTCCATAGAATGATAAACCTTGATATAAGCCAGTCTTCTCTTGATGAGTGTTTAGGTTGTGCCAGTCTTTTTACAGCAGTTGACCCTTGAGCGACGTGGGCGAGTTAGGGTCACCCACCCTCTGCACAGTCTAAGATCCACATATAACTTAGCCCTCCGTATATGTGGTTTCGAGTCCAAGATTCAGCTACCACGGTTCGTGTAGTGTTGTAGTGTTTACTGTTGAAAAATTCTACTCGTAAGCAGACCATGCAGTTCAAGTCTGTATTGTTCAAGGGTCAACTGTATTACAAAAAACACTGCAAATTAACACCCTTATACACATACACTTACCCATTTATACAAGTGTTCGGTAAGGCAGATTCTTAAAAGTAGAATTGCTGGGTCAGAGGGTATGCAGTTTTTAAACTGTTCTAAACAATATGTGGTTATTATTTCATTCAGTCTTCATCACACTCCTCCTTATCTCCATTTTACAAATAAGGAACTGAAGCACAGAGGGGTTGAAATCATAACTTTTAACCCAGACATAGCCAGAATTCAAGGTGTTCGTTAAATTTCTGTTTTTTTAATAGTTTTATCATTCAGGGGCTTGATGTGAATGAGAAGATATAATTTCAGTGCATATTCAGATATTTTTAATTATGAAAATTAATGGCTGGGATTGATTTATAATTGAAAGGATGATGAAAGCTTTCATACGTATTTGAATACTAGTGTTTTGTCACGTCTCTGATTTCTTTTAAACCTCTAAAAAAATTTTTTGCATTTTTTTGGTATAAGCTTTTGTATTTTTATAATTTTAGATATTGAAGTGGCTTGTTATGGTTATGAAGGCATCGATGCTGTAAAAGAAGCCCTGAGAGCAGGTTTGAATTGTTCTACAGAAACCATGCCCATCAAGGTGAGTAGTCAGTTTTTTCCCTCCCTGATAAACCAAAATCACCTAAACCAAATCAAACCAGATTTTTTTAATGATCGTGTTTCATAACAAATGTTATGAAAAGTGGTTCTTGATATGATATTTCTAGGAGATGTTTACAATTATGTGTAGGCTTTTTGTTGTAACTACTGCTACTGTCACAGTGAATGGAGATTCCTGTTGGTATTTAGTGCCAAGGGGCCAGCTGTGCTAAACCTCCTTTACAGTAAAGAGTCACTGTGCCCATAATGCTCATAGAATCTTGAAAAGAAAAGAGCAACTTATTCTCTCATATTCACACAGAGCTTTCAAGATGTTTGCCTTGAATCTTTCATTAGCAATAAAATTAACTGGATGGTTGTTATTCAGAATCTCATAGAAGAATTTCTTCTGTCAGTTTAGTTTGGAACCAAACAGGAATTTGAGAGACAAATTATCCATTGTGCCAATGATAGCTATAGTTAGTTTAGCCACCAAAGACCCAGAAGTCATAATCCTTCATATTTGGTATTGCAGTAGCCTGTTTATGGCTACTGGATTAGATCATAGTATCAGTTAGCTTCGGCTACTTTAACAAACTACTCCAAATTGCTGTGCTGCAGAATTGGGAGTAAGTTTTGGGGTGATTTGTTGTTAAAGCAGCAGATAAGCAAAACGATTCTCGAACATCCTCATTGTTGTGTGTTGTATAGGTACATTCATAATTGAATTTTGTCTTCCTTAGATTAATCTAATAGCTCCTCCTCGGTATGTAATGACTACAACCACCCTGGAGAGAACAGAAGGCCTCTCTGTCCTCAACCAAGCTATGGCTGTTATAAAAGAAAAGATTGAGGAGAAAAGGGGCGTCTTCAATGTTCAAATGGAGGTGAGCTCAATACTGGGGTTTTTTGCCTTGTTCTTAAAGTTCTTAAGATTTAAATGATCTAAGTGATTTGCATTCTAAAATATCTAATCGGAGTCATTTTAAAACATGAGATACGTTCAAGATTACACCTCCCCTAAGCATAAAATAATCACTGACTCAGAGAGTTCCTAAAAGGGTTTTTTTTGTTGTTGTTGTTTTGGTTTTTTTTGCGGTACACAGGCCTCTCACTGTTGTGGCCTCTCCGGTTGTGGAGCACAGGCTCCGGACGCGCAGGCTCAGCGGCCATGGCTCACGGGCCCAGCCGCTCCGCGGCATGTGGGATCCTCCCGGACCGGGGCACAAACCCGTGTCCCCTGCATCGGCAGGCGGACTCTCAACCACTGCGCCACCAGGGAAGCCCCTAAAAGGGTTTTTATACGTAAATAAGAACTGTCATGGGATGGTTATTCAGGACTGTGGTCACTGATCCCCCCAAAGGAAAAAAATATAGACAGTGAAAATAAGTGATTGGTTATTGCCAGAATTTAATGTAGAATGCTTAAAATTTGATTTCAGAATTAAAAACAAGAATAGCCTCATACTTTCCTCATCTCAACAAGAACAAAAACTAATTTTCATATATAATTTTCAAAACAATTTCTTCTGTGGAAAGGAATAGTAAGTAATTTATTTTGAAGCCAGAAGATGCATTTTTACAGGACATCTTTTTGTGTATTTGAAAGATACAGCCACTGCAATTATTTTCATATATTTTCTGTTCTAGCTTGTTAGAAATTACAGAAAATGTATTAGGTTTTAATATATGTTTTCTTTTCCTGTATTGTCTTACTCTCATAAATTTCTTTTATTATTTATCTCATGGAATTTATTGGTGATATTTCGGCACTCAAAAGTGAACAGAGAGGGCAGAGTTGTTAGCAAAGTGTTTTTTTAAGAGTTAAAATACCAGGCAGTAATACTATTGAAATTGAATTTTTGTACTGTTTAACTACTTCACTTTGAAATTGTGCCTCTGCTTCCACAGCCCAAAGTGGTCACAGATACAGATGAGACTGAACTTGCAAGGCAGCTGGAGAGGCTTGAGAGAGAAAATGCCGAAGTGGATGGAGATGATGATGTGGAAGAAATGGAAGCCAAAGCCGAAGATTAACTTTGTGGGCCACAGAGTCCAGTTTAAGGAACACAAAGCAGCCTTCCTGGCTGTTAACCCTAGACTTGAAAGTTTTCCAGTATTGAAAACTTCAAAGCTGAATATTTTTTATTTTGAAGTATTTAAATGTTCCGACAGACCAAAACGTGAAATGCCCTCCTAAATGTCAGCTGTTTTCACACAGTAGCTCTGACACCTTGAGCATTTTTTAAGGGAGTGGCCTGATTTCACTAGAGACAAATCTTTAAGAACAGTTATAAAATGGGGCGTGTGATTTCCATTTCTGATGTCTCCAGATTGGCACCCCTTTGTAGTTCAGTGCCTCCATGAGATTTACCAGGGGCACCCAAAGCAAGTAGTCCTAACCTTTCTATATAAAATGTATCAAGCAAACATTAAATAAATTTCTGGGATATTTAACCATAGGTTTCTTCCTTATTGTCACCAGTTAAAAGCATTATGATTACTAAGACCCTAATTCTATTATCTTCATTTTATTTGAAATGTAGTAATATAAAGGCAGGTGACCTAAAGGATCAATATAGCAGATCCTTTCAAAGGGAGGCTTTAGAGAACATAATTTTAATTAGTGAAAGTTTACTCCTAGGGGGAAAAAGCCTTAAAATGCAACTAAAGAATTACATTGGTTGTGTGCCTTTTACCTATTTGAGACTGATGACAACATGTGGTATGAGGGAGAATTTATCACACTGGTCCTTGTTGGTGTACTAAGCTGCTTGCCTTGAGTTTGTAATTCAGGGTGGTAAAGGTTTTAGGGGTGTTTTTTTTGTTTTTTAAGAAAAAGATGCTGCTTTTTAAATTAAGTTATTTGAGTCTCATTGCCCAACTTTTGATTTTTTTTTTTCCAGTAAAATATTTGCTAGGTGCCACCTAGAAGCTTCAGTTCTCTTCATAATAGAGTAGGGATCTGTTTGAACACAATTACAATGGTTTTTCTATGTTTCCATCATTTTTTTCTTTAAGAGCTGATTGTTCTAAAGGTAAATAAATAATATATACAAAGGTAAATAAATTTCATAGATAACATGTGGTTTGCAGTTACAGCTACAGTAGCCAGGGTGTAGAAAGTCTTAAGTTAACTTTGGTCTGCTTCATAAATTTAATCTCTTAGTACTTGAGGCACTAGATAAATTAATTTTACTAATCATTCCCAAGAAATATTTAGAAGATTAAACCTAACCCACCTTAGTCAATCCAGGACTAGACTTACCTCAGTGTTAAAGGGAATGGAAAATAGAAGAGTGTGTTGGTGGAGCCATTTGAGCCATTTTTGAAGGTCTGTCCCTTTGTTTAATTTAGCAGCCTCTACTAGCTCTTTAAATCCAGAAGTCTAATTTCATGTAACCGTTTCCACAAGGGAGCCATGATTGCTGGCTTGCATACTGGGAATATTTAGAGGAGAATCTGGCACATAATTTTCACTTCAGTCTTTCTGAGGAGTCAAAAAAAAGTCTATAAAGCTCACAGCATCAAGAATGTTATCAAACTGTAACAGGTGCTCCTTAAATGTTTGCTGTAAGCAGAGGAATTGAATTTTCACTTTGTTTACTGAGTTTTTTTTTAATACTTCAAAAGCCATAACTGGCGAAATACCGGTGGCATCCCATGCAGGCCTTTTGCTCAGTTTCGCAACAATTTTGCAAATTTATGACCCTTATGAGAAAAAAGATCAATATCTCACTGATCATGAAGGAGAGAACTAACTAAACTTACCCTGGTGACCTAAAAGTATCACTTTCAAATATGAGAACAAGATCACATCCAGCTCCAAATAACTTGAACAGATTGACAAAGACAATTGACCAGTTTATCCAAATGGATCTCTCCCCACAAAGACTTCATTAAAAATGGACAATTTCATCTACTCCCCATGCTGCCTTTGAGGTCAAGTGGTTATCGACTCATAACTGAAAATAGTTTGAGTCTCCATTAGGCATAATTAGTTGAAAATGTTAAATGGTCTGGAAAAATATGAACGCAAACCATTTTTCATGTTTTCTAGTAAAACAAGACAAGCCATTACTTACATGGATAATGCTCAAACACTTAGTGGAAACCTAGCAGAGACGTGCTAAGCAGTACAGTTACTACTCAGCTGCCGTACTTGACCTAGCTACTTTTACATCAAGAACAGTGTAAATGGTTCCGGATTTTAAAAAATTCAAGTGCTAGTACTCTTGGCGAGAGTTGACGCCTGATTTGCCTCAAGGTGATAGTCAACTACTTTTCAACACATGATACTGATACCATACAGAGTGGGGTGTAATTGTGCCAATTTAGAGTCAAGAAGCCATCAAACCAAATGCAGTTTAATTCAGGTAAACACCTGTTGATAACAAGAAGCAATAAAGAAACTAATTCCAAGGACATAGACCTTGGTGAAATGCCAAATGGAAAATGGTGCTTTAAAAGGCAGTCTCTTAGAATGTGAGGAATAAAGTAAAACCTCAGATCAGGTATTCTAGACAAGATTAAGAGGAGACAGTTCAAATTATTGAAGAGAATGAATTTTTACTTAAGCACTTTGGAAGTATCCACTCCCCTTAAATGTAAGTTACGTATCTATTCATTAAAGGAAGCCGAAGCACTTGTACTTGGCAGATTACTGTATTAAACTTGAAAGTAATAAAAATGTTTTTAAAGATACTGTATGATGCAGACTTTTCACTGCTTCAGATTAACCTCCTAACTAACTGGTGAAGCTTCTTGGTACCTATTTGTCTCCATTAATCTTCATTCTAAAACCCAGAATTTCATGCCTTGATTTAATTCTTTTCCCATTGACATCTTTCTGTGTCCTTTAGAGAGCGCCTGTTCCTGTCCTTCAGCAAGCTCCTGCTCTATCTAAATGACATTTTTTTCCACAGAAAAACTGTAATTTTACTTTTTTTGTATGTGTGACTAATCTGCCCGAGTCCATGATTTCTTTTCTGCAACGTATAATACGAAAGCTTATTTTTCAAAGCAAAACGATATTTTCAGAATTTTGCCCCCATCCCCCCTTTAAGATGAGGCATGTTTTAGTGACAGATCACTTGAGATGTTTTTATAATCAGCTCGCCTAATAATTCGTATAGCCTTAAGCATGAAAAACCTTTGAAAACTAAAACTTGGTATAGGAATTCTAATAGCCAGGAACAAATATCAATTTTTATTCATTCCAAAGAATGAGTTGCTGACAGCATTTCAGAGAGCGCCACCATGAGACTATAGTGTTTTATTTAGTATTACAACGTGGCCAGTTAGTGTGACAAGGGAAACCTACTTTGGTACCCAAGGAATGGCTGGTTGTGATGATGGGCGAAAGTCAAGATGCTGATGCCTAATGGCTATTCTAGCATTTCCATGTTAACTTTGAAGGTGGGGAAGGAAATAGCACCACTGCTGACTGTAATCTAAGGAACTCTTCACCAATCTCACTCCAAAGCAGTACAAAATAGAAAAAGCTAAAGTCTTAACACATTCCCATTTTCCAGGAAATCCTGTGTCATCTGTTAAGAGGGAGGAATCCTGATCCCGTTCCCTCAGGTCCTTGTCACGTTAGCTTTTTGATAGCTTCAATCCACTCTGAACGCTCAGCCTTGCTGCTGGCCTGGATATAATAGTGTGTGTCATCCTTAGTAATCACTTTGAAGAGATTTCCCTGGACATTCCCTTTAACCCCTAGGCAGGAAGAAAAAAAAATATCAGCAAGTGAACATCCATGTCTGCTTTCAGCTGGGAGTAGCTGAAAGTCAACTGAGACACAGACAAAGACACACACCATGAAGTATTTCTTAGTACAAATGTGTATGGTTAGGAAATCCCACCAGATGTGTGCTTTCCTGTATTCCTCCTGTCCATCCCCTCTCCCTCACCTGTGCCTTAAGGCCTGCCAGTGCTATGTCTGGACATTCTTGGAAGCCCTCTTGGCCTGCCCCCTATGCAAACCACAGGTCTACAGTCTAACTCACATCAAAGAGTCCAGTATGTTTATGTTAAAACCGGACACAGATGTGGGATTTGACTTGAATTGTTTAACTTCTTTGAAGCTCAATCTCTACATCCATAAATTAAGAATAATACTATCCTCCCACCTCAACTGTCTATTGTGAAATTAGTGTGCTAATAGTGTGTTGTCAATCCTTAAGCACTATTGTAAGCTACTGTTCTTAGGTGGAAGCCTATGGGCCAGTAAGCACAGAAAAGGATGGGAAGGAATATTAAAGACAAGGGTCATTTAGTTGTGTTGTCACCACACTAAGAACACCCCACTTGCCCTTTCTCTAATCGGCTTCAAAGCTCACACCATTCATCGTCTCGCTGAGAAAGCCCATCAGCCCTGACAGCTTAGCCCTTCATCAGCAGAGTGTTAACTGAGAGCACAGGAGGGAGGCCCCCGAGATCAGGCCAGGGCCAAAGTTGCCCCTTACCAGTGGGAACGCCATTATCCTCCAGAGCAGATACGAGTGAACCACGAAGAGAAAACCCACCCACTGGCCGGTTCTCTTCCTGCAAAGGAAAGGAGACCTGATTGGGAACTGTGTGAAGGCACAAAAAAGAAGAGTCACCCTCTCATCTATAACCACCCGCAGTCAGCCTGCTAAAGTAGTCTGTGAGAGTCATTTGTAACAGCAGTTGAGGCTGAACTTGGACATCACATGGCAAGTCGTCTGCACCAGCGAGGAAGTCTGGGCTGCTTCATTCCACAGCCAGCTGCAGCACTGCCACCCCCCTCCCTGTCCCTCGGCCCTCCCTGTGGTCTAGCAGGGTCCCGGGGTGGGGGGCTCTTTCAAGCTCCTTCGGTTTCTCAGCTTAGGGTGGGGTTCCTGACTGAAGCTCAGCAAGGGAGGAACGTCCATTCTTATTTCAAAAAACAAATGAATACATCTACCAAGACAAGGCTGAACAGGCTGACTAAAAGGACATTTTTCTTTTCTTCTGATTGGAATTAGATCAAACCCAGCATGCAGTAATACTTATTATCTGAAACTCAGAATTACGGCTTAAATATTAAATGGTAAAAGAAACCTTTCAAACCGTTGGTGGGGACATGAGGTTGAGGGGGCAGAATTCATGGACTCTTTGGGTGGAAAGGGGTGAAAAGAGACTAGAAAGCACCAGTTAGGAGTCTCTTTATCAGCCCACCTCACCTTCCCTAGGCACACAGCCAGCTTTGGAGAGACTGAAAGACGCTTTTCCTCTCAAAACAATGTAGATCCACTGAGCAGGCAACAATGTGACGAAAGAAAGGAGTGATCAGACTGTGAGGGGTAGCTTGCACCGTGGAAGGAAAGGCATAGTCAGTGGGAGTTATGGTAGGGATGCTGGGAGGAAGGGTGGAGGTGAAGCCAGCTGCCTGCTCTGCTCTGGAGGGATGCGTCTGGGAGCATGACAAGGCACTCACTTTGGAAGGGTCG